ACGCTCGGACCGGAGGAAAAAAAGAGAACGATGCTGGCGTCACGGCCGATGTGGCTTTAGCGATCGGCAACCCGCTGGCCGTCCGCTAAGGAGCAGCGGCTCGTGGCGGGTCGCATTTTTCTTATCGGAATTAGTTGAGAATGCGGCGTCCCACGAACGTAATATTTTGGCTGGGGTCGTATTTTGTGTCACTACAGCGATACCAGTCATTAATTTCATATTGAGTTGTGGCCGGAGTTGCCCTTTAATAAATAAGCGTGACTCTAGATTTGTTTTTTATACTTGTCCTGTTGAGCTACACACTCGAAATTACACTGAACAGTCGAATAAAGATTAATGGCGATCTTCGACATGATCACTAAAAATCTAACTCGGCGAATGGCTTATTTAATGTGCAGCTCTTTTCGTATATTGCTCCTATAACACTACTTTCCTTTGCTGCTTTGATATGCCTTTATGTATCGAACTACGCAGGACACAAGCGGCTGGTTAAACATTTTTAGCAGATTTAAGTGTCTTGTTGTGTCCAGTTTCTCTCGGTCACATTCAGTATCTTTTCCAGAAAACACAATATGTATATTCATTTACTTTCTTGTCTTTACTAGAGAGATTAGACTCGTCAAACTGAAGGCAAATCATTCCAACTTTTCCACGTGTCTTATTGGTCAATGCTTCACGCCGTATCGCAAGTTTACGGAAGCCAAGCGAGTAACAATTTCTTCTGGCCGTCCATTGTGCGTCAACACTATGAGCACAAGCTGGTTCGCACTTTCATAAAACGTATTCAGACTCGGTATCATTTCATTTTATTACCTTCTGATAAGCAATACTTTTCGTTTATTCGTTGTTTTCATTCGCTCTCACGCTCCCCTGCTTTTATTTTTCTGCAACTACACTTCAATTGCTGGGGCTATAGTGTCACGGGTGGTGACCAATAAACAAGAAATAAACAGGAATAAATAAACGTTTAATGTGGCGAACTTGTGCCAAATATAAAAGGGTACAAAAGCTAATAACAGAGCGTCCCGAGGCGTCGAAGTCGGCGTAGCAGCAGAGTCGAACGCTGGGGCGAAACTGACTCCGGCTTGCCACGCGGAGCCGCTTTTGTACACGCGTTGGCTTCTGGAGCATTCGACGTAAAAGGTTCGACGCGTAGAACATTCTAAACCCGAATCAGCCCTAGACGGTTCTCGAATTCACCAGAACATCACATTACAGTGCCAACAAAATGCGTAGCCGCGGCCAGGAATCGAACCCTGGTCCTTCGCGTGCGAGGCAAGCGCGATAACCGTTAGGCTAGGGCCGCTTTTTTTTTCTTTATTGCCACATATTTACACACATTTACAAACGTGACAGGTAAAAGAATAACGCCGGCCAGTCCCCGGCAGGCGTACGTGATTTAAAATTCTTTCATAACAACCAGTCTTTCCAGAACAGGCAGCCATTCAGGCTGTTCACTGAGCATTCCAAACAACTCTTTTAAATGAATGACACTTTCTATAAAATAGTCCCTGGCTTGACGAGGTTTCACTTCAGCATTTCTTACATTCATTCTACTCCGCCATAGACTGTGGAGGCCCAACAGCATCAACATGTCGTAAGGCAGTCCCCCCACATTGTCTATTGGAAGGAAGCGAATCCCGTACGCAGTTAATGGCAGGCTCTTTTTTAAAGTACGTTGTAGAATGTCCCATAAAAAGATAGCATCCCAACAGTCTAAGAAGATATGTTGGACAGTTTCTGGTTGTCTGCACAATAGGCAGTCAACAGACCAGGGAACGAAAATGCCTTTCTCCTGAAGCCAGGGCTTTACTGGAAGCGTTCCGCTGTGTAGTTGAAAAAAAAAAAAAGTTTTTACGGATGGCCGTACCGGCATTCTTTTAAGTCTTTTAAGGACATCCTTACCTGGACCCTCACTATATAAGGAACGGTACAATGGCGTCGGCAACACCGTATAAACCAAATCTCTATACAGACGCTTCCCCGCGACAACGCTTAAATATTCCATAGAAAAACGCACTTTTAAAAAATCAAAGGCCTTAGCCACTTCGTTCAAAAACCCGCGTACTCTCCCACACTGCATGTTTCTAGTGGTAATGATAAATTCGGGTAAGGCATCACTCAGTCTGACTTGCAACACAGTCCGTAGGAAAACATTCTTCTGATCTCCAAGAAAAATAAATCGAGTAACAACCTGCCGAAGAAACGGATGAACCAGACCCAATCCACCACTTTGCACCGAACGAAATAAATTTGTGCGACTGGTGCGCTCCCATCCCGACCCCACACAAAAACGGCAAAAACCCTATGGAACTTCTGAACATTCACTCGCGACATCCACAGCACTTGAAGTGGGTACCAAATTTTTGCCACCAAGAACAAGTTACAAATTGTTGAACGTGCAAACATTGAAAATTCTCGGCCTCCCCAGTTTGTAGTTTTAGCTCGCAATTGCTCTATCTCCCCCCTCCAATACTCGGTAGTGTCTCGGTATTGTTCAAGGGGCACTCCTAGATACTTGGGTGGCGAAACATTAAACTGGATGTTTTGATAAAAGTTTGGTGTGGCTTCCCAGTTGCCGTGCCACAAGCCTACACATTTGCTCCAATTTATGGCACTTCCCGCTAACTTGCAAAACAAAGATGCATCACGGACAACCTCGCTAACACTTTCAGCGTCGTCGCAAAAAACAGCGATATCGTCTGCGTACGAGAGAATCTTGACCTCACTTGCGGCCAGCCTAAAACCACGTATTCTTCGATTATAAATAAGCTTTAAACAAAAGGGTTCGAGATAAATTGCAAATAACAAAGGGGATAATGGGCACCCTTGCCTGACCGAGGATTTGACTTCAAAACTTTCACTCACTTTCTTATTGATAATAAGGCTCGTGCAACACTTTGCGTACGACATTTTCACCCCTTCTAAAATGACTGCACCAACATTCACGTATTCCAAGGTAGAGAAAAGGATGTCATGAGCTACCCGATCAAATGCCTTTTCCAAATCGAGCTGTAGGATAGCCACATGACTTCCGAAAGCATCGCAGCACTCTAAAATACTTCTGACGACGTGAATGTTGGTGAAGATCGTGCGCCCTTTGATGCCGCATGTCTGATGAGGCCCAACAATAGTTGTTATGACACTTTGCATTCGTCTTGCCAAAACTTTCATAAAAATCTTGTAATCGACATTGGCCAAACTTATTGGGCGGTAAGACTTTACCGACAAAAGTTGTGCGGGATCGTCACTTTTAGGGATCAAAACGGTATGGGTTCTCCGAAGAGATAGCGGGGTCTCTTTTACCTCGTACGCGGCCAATATCACTCGGTGCAGAGCTTCCGCCATACCGTCTTTAAAGGCCTTATAACAAGCTGCTCCCAACCCGTCGGGTCCAGGAGACTTTCCTGAACTTGGGTCATCAATAGCTCTTTTAATTTCCTGCAGACTAATCGGTACTTCAAGGCTTGCCTTTCCCTCGTCATCTAATTTAGGCATTAGTGTTAAAAACTCTGCTTTAAAACCCTCCTCTACGCTTCTCTTGCGTCCTAAAAGACCACGGTAATATTCAGTAAAGGCGCGTTCAATTATTTTTCCCTCTCGAGTAACTTCCTTGCCGTACTGGATGGCACTTATTTCATTTCGTGCGGCGTATCTTTTTTCATCGCTCAGAGAACGCTTAGTCAATGTTTCTCCCGTCCACAATTTGTTAGCCCGCGCCCTTATCACCCCTCCACGGTAGTTATCTATGTCGATAAGTTCAAGTTGGCTCTTTACTTCGCGAATTTCTTTGGTATATTTTCCAGGCTCAGCGCTCTCTATAGCCAACAAAAAATGAAGCTGACATTGTAATTCTTTTTCTTTTTGCCCTTCACGACTTTTCAAAATGCACGATGTTTCAATCCCACTGCTTTTAACTTCTTCCTTAAAACGGTCCCACCGTGAACCAATACTTCCGGATCCAGCCTCAATCAGCCTACCTATTCTTTCTTTAACCCCATTCACGAATTCCTCATCCTCTAGAAGCTTGTCGTTAAATTTCCAAGTATCCCAGTTAAAGCGCGTTTTATTTTGTTTTCTTCCCAGCGTAAAAAATACCAAGCTGTGGTCGCTAAAAGATACATGCTGAACTTCAAAATTCTGACACAGTGGGACAAGCTCCCCTGAAACATAAATCCTATCCAACCTCGCGTGACTTCCTCGTTGGAAATGCGTAAACTGGGGCGCATTAGCGGTAGGCAGAAACCACCCTACATCCTCTAAATTACATTCTTGTACTAAATTATTCAAAAACAACGCACTTTTGTCACGCACCGGCAACTGGCTAACCCTGTCCTCTGCAGCGCACACACAATTGAAATCACCCAACAAAATCACTAATTTCATTGAATTTAAATAGGACGCAACGCGCTCAAAGAACATCCGACGTTCGTTTTCCTTGTTTGGCGCGTAGACACAAATTACCCTCCATTCTCTTCCCGAAAAAGAAAAATCACACACAGTCAACCGGCCGGTCGTGCACACCACTACTGATTTTACTACAATTCCTAAGGAATTTCTCAAAAATAATACGCAGCCTCCGGATCTACCCGCAGAGCGGCATACGCATACGTGGTTACGGGCTCTGAAGGGCTGCACCATTCGGCCAGTTTGCTCTTCGCTTTCAATTTTTGTCTCTTGCACAGCCACTACGTCGAGGTCGTTCTCCAGAAAAAGGCGGCTAACCTGATACTGCCTGCGTCTGGCCGCCAGGCCCCGAACGTTCAGCGTAGCTACGCATAGGGCTGTGTCAAGATTTACGCCCCTCTCAGAGCGAGAGCAAGGGGGCCACACGGTGCTCACCTCGGATCGTCGAGAGACGCCACACGACCCACTGTCTTGAAACAACGGCCGGACGGATTGACTGGCCGAGGTGTCCATATCGCCAGAGGTTGACGCCATCTCGGCGGAGTCAGGTCGTGGTCCCTCTAAAACCCGCATGCCCTACGGAGCGCGGGCCTTCAATACTGCGATGACGGCGTCGCCGGCGACCTCCGGTCTGGCGGAATGTTGGGCTTGGGTCTTACGCCACCCCTGCGCGACAGAGTCGTCTTTGGGGGCGGCTCGTCTGGAGGGACAGCTCCTGAGTCCTGGCCGTCGTCGTCGCTCGGTTGTCGGACTCGCTTGGGCACTAGAGGGGTGGTACCTGCTATTTCCGCAGCCTTGGTGGTCGCCCCTCCAGCAGTCAGCGTCTCAAAAGACACTGCCTCGTCGACGTTCTTAGAGTCCGGCTCGCCACGAGTTGGCGGCTCCTCAGGCAACGTGGCCTTGACACCTTCGCCGTGACCGCCGTCGCAGGCCTCCAATGGCTTGGGGATTGTTGCCTCAGTTGGCGGCTGGTTTTCTTCCCCGCTCGCGGCTTCCTCGGCGTCGACCACGTCCATGAGGTGCTCCGAGGTATCGTCGCCCCCCACGGGCCCTGCGACACTGGCATACGTCCGGACACACTGACTCTCTCCATGGCCGAACCGCTTGCAGAGCGTGCAGCGTGGCACTCTGCACTCTCTTCGGATGTGGCCTTTGCCCTTACACCGGAGGCACAGCGGCGCCCTGCCGGGAACCACCGCTAGCACCAATTCGCCGGCGATGCGCAGCTGGTGAGGGAGGTCCTCCACTGTGACGCCGGGTCCGAGCTTAATGGAGACCGAACGCGTCGTCGAGCCCATGTCGGTGCAGCCCAGGACGCGCCACTTATCCCTGGTGACCCCTGTGACCTTCCCGTAGGGCGCCAAGGCCGCACGCACCTCGTCGTCTTGGACGTGATGCAGCAGCCGGTGGAGCTTGAGCCGGGTCTCCTGGTTGCTGGGGTCTACCACAACGCAACGGCCGTCCTTGACTTTGAAGCCCTCAGCTGCCTGCAACTTCCTCTTCCCCTCGGCGCTCTTGAAGGTCACGGCCCAGACGTGGTTATACTGGTATGCCCCTAAGGCGAGCACCTCGGGAAGAAGTGCCGCGAGGGACGGGGCGCCACGGAAGTGCTCCAGACGGTAGGGCCGGGCGCGCACGTCGGCGTGTAAAAAAAGCGTATTTTGGACAGACGGGCCAGTAGGCAGCGTAGGCAAGATAACTTCGTACTCCTGCGATGCTGCGTCAGCAATCCTGTTCCCGCGGCCCTGCTGGGCCGCTGATACCGCACCACCGGAGCTCATGATAGTACGTCCGTACGCTTCGGCGGCCGGAAGTAGAATCCTGTTAGGCTAGGGCCGCGCTGCCTACTTGGCGCGCGGCATTACTCCCCCCTTAAAAAGTGCATCGCTCCGATGCAACAAAAAACAAAACAAAGCACGAAAAAAGAACGGCAAACTAAATAGTTATTTGAAACACATAAGATCCACAGTCCTGTCGAGCGTAGTACGGCTTCAGGCGCACAACGTGGACGACTTTAGGTCGTGGTGGGCGGCGTGATGATGTTCTTGTTTCGTCGCGCATCACCTCGTAGTTCAGCTCGCCGAGGTGACGAAGTACCTTGCATGGTCCAAAGTACCGTTTCAGGAGTTTCTCACTGAGGCCGCGGAAACGGATGGGCGTCCACACCCACACCCGGTCTCCGGGTTAAAAGTGGACGTCCCGGCGACGAAGGTTATAGCGGCGTGCGTCGACTCGCTGTTGGTCATGAATCTTGATTCTTGCCAGTTGGCGAGCTTCTTCCGCGCGTTGCGAGATCAGTTGAGCATCGTCGTTGCCATCGTCGGCCGGCACGTGAGGCAGCATGGCGTCGAGCATTGTGGTAACCGTCCGGCCGTGTACCAGTTGGAACGATGTCATTCCCGTGGTTTCTTGCACCCCTGTGTTGTACGCAAACGTGACGTACGGCAACACCTCGCCCCATGTTTTGTGCTCTACGTCGACGTACATGGAGAGCATGTCGGCGATTGTCTTGTTGAGTCGCTCGGTCAGCCCGTTGGTTTGCGGGTGGTATGCAGTGGTGCGACGATGGCCAATGCCACTGGGACGAAGGATCCCTTGTGTCAGCTGGGCCATAAACGAAGATCCACGGTCTGTGATGAGGACTTCAGGGGCGCCGTGCCGGAGGACAATGGACTCGATGAAAAACTTGGCGACTTCAACAGCCGTGCCTGCAGCAAGGGCTTTCGTCTCGACATACCGTGTGAGATAATCGGTGGCGACAAAAATCCAGCGGTTTCCCGACGTTGGCGGCGGGAAAGGGCCAAGTAAATCCATTCCGATCTGCTGGAACGGCATAGACGGGGGAGAAATCTGATGCAGAAGTCCTGACGGCTTCGTCGGCGGTTTCTTGCGTTGCTGACACCCGTGGCATGATCGAATGTATAGGTGAACGGTCTTCGTTAGCCTTGGCTAGTAGTACTTTTCTCGAATCCTGGCGAGCGTCCTGGTGTAGCCAAGGTGTCCAGCCGTTGGGTCGTCATGGCATCCTTGAAATATTTCGTCTCGAAGGCTGGCAGGAACAACCAACAGCCATGCTGTGTTGTTGTTGACGAAGTTCTCTTTGTACAGCACCCCTTGCCGCATGGAGAATGTATGCAGGATTCTTAAGAAAGCATGGGGAACCGAACTCGCTTGTCCCTCTAAGTGCTCGATGAGCGCTCGCAGTTCAGGGTCGTCTCGTTGGAGTGCTGCCATGTCGCTGACGTCCAAAGCGCCGAGGAAACACTCATCGTCGTCGTCTTTGATACAGGCAGGTCCGGCCTCGACAGGAGCTCTTGACAGGCAGTCGGCGCCATTGTGCTTCCGGCCGGACTTGTACACAACAGTCATGTCGAACTCCTGCAGTCGTAGGCTCCACCGGGCGAGGCGTCCGGAAGGGTCTTTCAGATTCGCGAGCCAGCAGCGCGAGTGGTGGTCCGTGACCACGCGAAAAGGACTTCTATACAGATATGGGCGAAACTTTGTTATTGCCCAGACGACAGCAAGGCACTCCTTTTCAGTTGTAGGGTAGTTCCTCTCCGCCTTAGACAGCGTCCGACTGGCGTATGAGATGACTCGCTCTGCCCCGTCCTGCCTTTGAACTAGCACCGCACCAAGTCCGGTGTTACTGGCGTCCGTGTGGATCTCTGTATCAGCGAACTGGTCGAAATGGCCAAGAATCGGGGGCGTCTGGAGTTTTCGTTTCAGCTCATCGAATGACCGCTGGTGTTCGTCTGTCCATTCGAACTTTACGGCGTCCTTCGTGAGGTGCGTCAGCGGTGCGGACAGCATGGCGAAGTCCCGAACAAATCGTCTGTAGTAGGCACAAAACCCGAGGAATCTTCTCACGGCCTTCTTGTCAGACGGCGGCGTAAATGCAGCTACGGCGCGGGTCTTCTCGGGGTCCGGGAGAACACCTTTGTTGCTCACGACGTGGCCAGGGAACTTAAGTTCACCATGGCGAATCGACACTTTGTCGGCTTCAGTGACAGGCCGGCGGTCTTGATGGCTTGAAGCACGGCTCGAAGTCGTTTCAGGTGCTCGTCGAAATCTCGTGAAAATACCACGACGTCGTCGAGGTAGACGAGGCAGCTCTGCCATTGCAGACCTGCCAGCACGGTATCCATGACACGCTGGAAGGTGGCTGGCGCAGTACAAAGCCCGAACGGCATCACTTTGAATTCGTACAGTCCGTCGGGAGTGACGAAGGCAGTTTTCTCCCGATCGCGTTCGTCGGCTTCAATCTGCCAGTAGCCACTCTTCAGATCCATCGACGAAAAATATCTGGAGTGGCGCAGTCGGTCTAACGTATCGTCGATGCGGGGGAGCGGATAGACGTCTTTCTTCGTAACAGCGTTCAGTCGACGGTAGTCCACGCAGAACCGCAGGGTTCCGTCCTTCTTCTTTAGAAGGACGACTGGGGACGGCCATGGACTTTTTGAGGGTTGAATGATGTCGTCGTCGAGCATTTCTTGGACTTGATCCTGAATCACCTTCCTTTCCTTTAAGGAGACTCGATACGGCGACTGATGGACAGGGAGCGCGTCGTCGTCGGTAATAACGCTATGTTTCGCCATTGGTGTTTGGCGGACTTTTGACGACGTGGCAAAACAGTCACTGTATTCGGCGAGGAGATCAACCAGTTGTCGGCGCTTAGGAGCTGGGAGCTCGGGGTTGATGTCGATCGGCTGTGGCGGCGTGCTGTTTTGTTGTGACGATGAGGTTTCTTCGGAGACTGCGGTGACCACGGCTGGCGCCTGAAGCTCCTCAATGTGGCCCACAGTGGTACCCTTCGTTAGGTGCTGCGGCTTCTCTCGGAAGTTTGTCACAAGAACTGTTGTACGTCCCTCTTGGAGACCCGTTACGCCTCCTGCGACGCCAATTCCTTTCTCAAGGAGCAGTTGGACGCTGCCTTCCAGAAGAGCTTCACCGTGCATGGCTGCGTCGGTTATGACGGTGACGAAAATACTCGACCGCGGCGGTAAGTTCACATGGTCGGCGATAACTCGGATCGCGGTTGACGTCGTGTTGGTTTCCACCGGCTGTAAAACAGGCTTTCGCAGCGTCAGCTGGTTTGCCCCGAGGTCGATGACGGCGCCATACTCGCAGAGAAAGTCCATTCCGAGGATAACGTCCCTCGAACAGTCTTGCAGAACGACGAACTTCACAGGGCACGTCTCACCGTGGATCTCGACGCGAGCAGTGCATCTCCCGACTGGTGTGATGAGGTGCCCTCCGGCGGTTCGTATTTGTGGTCCATCCCACGGTGTGGTGACTTTTCGAAGGCGGCGGGAGAGCCCCCCCACTCAAGACCGAGTAGTCTGCTCCGGTGTCCACGAGTGCTGATGCGTCGTGGCCGTCAATGACGACATTTAGGTTATTGGACACAGCTGCAGGGGCGTCGTTTCGGTCTCTGGTAGCGTTCGAGTGGAGCCCCCCGACGTTCGTGGAGGATCTTGGCGTCGGTCGTCTTCGCCAACTCCACCTCCAGGGGTTGCCGCGCCTAGTTTCCCCGGCGTGGAGCGAGGGGCGGCAGGCTTTCACGTCGAGGTCGGTGCATCGGCGAAGCTGGACGTCGTGGCGAAGGCGACCGGAACTCTCGGCGGGGCGCAGGCTCGGGGGACTGAGGCCGTCGCAGGTACTCGTCGATTTCCCGAGGGCGTTCTCCATAACGGGGTCGCGGGTCGTTCGGGTGGAACCCGCGCAGCCCGAGTCGACGGAATGGGCATCGGCGGTAGGTGTGGTCTGCTTCCCCGCAGTGGAAGCACGGAGGGGGTCGGTCAGGCGTTCGCCACACATCGGTCTTCCGGGTTTCACGGGGCTCCTGACTGGCGTACTGGAGCTGGTCGTCGCGGCGTCGGTCGTGCTGCGGCTCAGGAGAGTGACGTCGGGGCGGCGCAACATAGGCCTTAGGGGGAGGCGGTGGCCGTCGGGCCACTGCGGCGTAGCTCAACGTCGGTTCCTCCGGTGCCACCGTGGTGACGGAACCTCTGGTTGGAGCGCCCGATGCACTTCTTCTCGGACAGCCTCGGCGATGGAAATGGTTGGCGGACGGCTGGTGGTTGGCAGCAACCTTCGCAGATCCTCCCGGACAACCTCATGGATAATTTCGCGGATGTCCGTACCAGGCGCGTTTTCGCCGCTAAGCAGCGGGGTTGCAGTGACGCACGGCTGCCGCTGGTAGTGGGAAGCGCGCGCTTGGAGGGCGCGCTCGATGTTTGTCGCCTCGTTGACGAAGGTGTCGACGGTTGCCGGCGGGTTGCGGACGAGGCCTCCGAAGTTGTCGTCCTTCACGCCCCGCATCAAAATGCGCATTTTCGTTTCCTCGGTGGCCTGAGGGTCGGCGCGAGAGCTCAAGCGAAGCGCGTCTTCCACAAAGCTCGTGACGCTTTCATTGGGGCCCTGGGTCCTGGTTCGCACTAGGTCCTCGGCTCTCTCTCGGCGTTGGTGGTTGAAGAACGTAGCCTTCAGATCGGTCTTGAAAATATCCCACGGTGTGAAAGAGGACTCATGGTTCTCGTACCAGTGCTTGGCGGTCCCTTCGAGCGAAAAGTAGACGTTGTGCAGGCGCTGGTCGTCGGTCCAGCCATTGTGGCGGGCAACGCATTCATACTGGTCAACCCAGTCTTTGACGTCTTCGTAGAGTTCACCGTGGAAGGGGGCAGCCGTCCGCGGTGCGACGGGCATGTTGTTGGCGGGAGAAGCGGCGGGAGCTTGCGACTGGTTGGCCATCGTCGTCTTCTGCGGCTTGGGCTTGTTCAGC